GCTGAAAGAGTGTATAATGTGTGTCACACTAGTTAATTAATTAATTATTAGTAAATCAACAGAAATTTAGTAATATATCTCCCAGTCAATCAAATCCATAGCATTTAAGTAGATAAACATTAGATTTTTTCCCTTTTATACTCAGTAAATTAAATTCCTTTTTTAAATTAAGTAGAACAATTTCTTATTATTAGTAAATTCATTTAGATCATAAGTATCAATAGTAAACTTAAGTAGAGTAGTCGCGATCAATTTTTACCGAATATTTAGGGAATATATCAGTGATAACTAACATCAAAATAATTAATCATCAATCAAAACAATCTCCAAATTCACATCTGAGTAAACGTATCATCAACCTCATATCAACTTCAAAACCCAACGCATTTCATCCACCATTAAGAAGCGTCCAGCGATATAATTAGCGCCCCGAATTTAGTAAGGGCTCAAGAGCTAATTACGAAATTACGTCACATCACATCACAACAGTATACCTTCAAGAGCTTCAGAACACTACTCCAGCTTCATTCATCAGTTTACACAACTTCATTCTTCATTCTTCATTCTTCCAACTACTCAACTTCAAGAAACTCATCAAACTTCAGCAACCTTCCATATTTACCAGCAATTACCAGCAATAACCAGACTTCAATACATCCATCTAATTTCATCAACCTTCAGTATTTCAACAACATTCCCAAATTCATCATCAATCATATATCCAACTTCATCAGCCAACAGATCTTCTCAACCCAACTTAATTAAATCTATCACTGATATACGCCCGCCCACATTTCTTAGAGCAGGTTTAGATTAAGCAATCCCACCAAACATAGTTATAAGAAATTCATTCAAAACCATAGTTACCTTTAGTTTATAAAAAAAAAAAAAAAATAGTTAATAGTTTATAAGCAAGACCGACACACATTATAACCTCAAATGAGTCAAACCAAAAGGAGTGCAGAAAACTGTTGGAACATTTCCACACCGACATCGATGTCACAACGACACAATCTCACGGCGAGCACAATAAAAATTAAAAAAAAAAAAAAAAAAAAAAAAAAAATTCCTCGTCCTTCATCTTTCCCAAACCCCAAAATCACCCCAAAACTAGGAAAAGAAAAAAAAAAACAACCCCACCGGGGGGAGGATGTAGCGGATCGCTACAATAGCGCAAGTCACATGACTACGATGCGCGCGCAGTCACCCGGGTAGGCACGCGCAGCGAACCAAGAGCAGTACAGTGTAGTGTCGAGCGCCTGGAGCTGTACATCTAACTGGATAAGTAACTGTAGCCTAAGATGTCTAGCTAATAGAAGTAGGGGTTGGGGAAGGGTGTAGGTTAGGGCAAAGGTAATTCGATCATGTAGTTTATTAGGTTCTCGAAGGGTCGTGGTCTGGCAATTAATATCGTAAATTAGAATTCACATTTGCTAAGTCTAGTAACCTTTTTCACGAATTAGAATAAGTCCATATATATATATTTCTCTGTTCATTATATTATAATTAGATACATTAAGAACATAAAAGCTGGCTGTGATAGGCAGCTAAGGTAATATTGTGCACTTTGACGAGTTAGATTAATTCCTTGCAATAGAGTTGGGTTAGGACAGGAAATGTGCGTGATTTGGCAGTGGTTAGAGGAAGATATATAGGGCCCAGGTATCTTCATTTACACTCATACTACTCCACATCATCACAAACAAATAACAGTTCACGACATATGTCGTGCATATGTCGTGCATATGTCGTACATATGTCGTGAAATGTTATTTGTTTTAACCCAACGACGTCCATTGGACTGAAGACTCAAAACTGGCCCGCCTGATGATGGTACAACTTCGTGCCGAAACCTAGGTCGCAACAGCCGACTTATTTGAACTGGTGACTGAAGGTATTTCAAACCATTATATTAGTCACTTGATATGTAAAAATACTTACGTAAGTAATAAACTTATATGTAAAAATTAGTCTGTTATGTATTCATATATTAAAACCTATTAAAAACTTTAATGTTCTGGATAGCTCGACAGTCGACAACCCCTAAACTAGACAACATATGGATCCACAAATTGTCTAGTTACTGAGGTTTTACTGTACTTTCTATCCCTCTGTACTATTTCTACCCCTGCTTCGCAACAGGAAGAAGAGGTAAGGCAGAATGATAGTGCTTAAATTAAATCTCTTATTCACTATAATTTGACGTACAAGTGTTACATATACAGAGTGATCAACTCAAAGAGGCCACCATTGGGAGGTCCATGAAGTTAGCCCCCCCCATAAAAGCACTAACAATAAAACTAGTATTAATGTTTAGTGCTTCGTTAGTGCTGGTTAGTGCTTCAACTCCCATCGTTAGTGCTCTTATGGTTCAGGAGCTATAACCAAAAAACTGTGGGTGGGGCCAACTTCACGGAAGTTAGCCCCCCCCAGTAGTAATATGTGAGCACTAACTTTCAAAACTGTACCAACGGTTAGTGCTTCGTTAGTGCTGGTTAGTGCTTCAACTCCCATCGTTAGTGCTCTTACGGTTCAGGAGCTATGACCAAAACACTGTGGGTGGGGCCAACTTCACGGAAGTTAGCCCCCCCAGTAGTAATACGTGAGCACTAACTTTCAAAACTGTACCAACGGTTAGCCCATCCACATAGACTAAGCGCCCGTGCGTGGAACGTTTACAGCAAAGAAAGGGGTGAGCCGGTACAAAGGTGAACCGTACTGATAAATTTTAGTGGCAGTGACCAGGATCCGAACTGACGACATCCGAAGTCCGCGACGCTATCGACTCAGCCACCGACTCACTACCCTCCATAGTGTGAGCACTAACTTTCAAAACTGTACCAACGGTTAGTCCTTCGTTACTGCTGGTTAGTGCTTCTACTCCCATCGTTAGTGCTCTTACGGTTCAGGAGCTGTAACTAGAAAAACTGTTGCGTTGTTAACTTTACGGAAGTTAGACCCCCCCCCCTAACCAGTAGTAATATGTGACCACTAACTTTCAAAATAGTGTAAATGGTCAGCGCTGGTTAGTGAATGCTCCTGGAGTTTTAATGAAAAGCTCTAGTTCCGAGGTTAGATTTTTAAGGCGATTGAAAGACAGCTCCACACAATTATATCAACTAGACTCCACACATTTTTAAAAGCTTTAAATAAAAGGTAATATTTCCCCAGGGAAGTTATCCCCTCCTCACATAGGGCAAGGATTCATTAAGTACATTAGCCTATCAAAAAACAGTTAGTACTGTATATATTTTTACTGGGGTTGGCTAACTTCCGTGAAGTTGGCCCCACCCACAGTTTTTTGGTTATAGCTCCTGAACCGTAAGAGCACTAACGATGGGAGTTGATGCACTAACCAGCACTAACGAAGCACTAACCATTAATACTAGTTTTATTGTTAGTGTTTTTATGGGGGGGGCTAACTTCCGTGAATTTGGCCCCACCCACAGTTTTTTGGTCATAGCTCCTGAACCGTAAGAGCACTAACGATGGGAGTTGAAGCACTAACCAGCACTAACGAAGCACTAAGTGTTGGTACAGTTTTTAAAGTTAGTGCTCACATATTACTACTGGGGGGGGCTAACTTCCGTGAAGTTGGCCCCACCCACAGTTTTTTGGTTATAGCTCCTGAACCGTAAGAGCACTAACGACGGGAGTTGAAGCACTAACCAGCACTAACGAAGCACTAACCATTAATACTAGTTTTATTGTAAGTGCTTTTATGGGGGGGGCTAACTTCACGGACCTACCATTGGGATATCTGAAACGGTAAGAATTAGAGAAAACTTTAAATGGGGAACTTGCTTACTTTATTACTTACTTTATTACTTTATTTTTTGTGGCAGTTAAAAATATGAATTTAGTTTTTTTTAATTTCGGCTTTTCAATTTCATTCCGATATTTTCGGCAAAATTTTCCAATATTGCGGCCAACTTTGAAATTTCTTATAGAACACCCACTCTTATAGAAAATGAAATTTTAAGACTTTTTTATTCTTGGCATTTTTTTTTATAAACTTGAACCTTTAGCCACTAGGAGGGCTAACTAAACTCATATTTTTAACTGCCACAAAAAATAAAGTAATGTTCCCCTTTTAAAGTTTTCTCTAATTCTTACCGTTTCCGATATCCCAATGGTGGCCTCCTTTAGTTGATCACCCTGTACTTTAATTTTTCTAGTGTTTTTTACTTCACTATGGTATGTGATCAATAAATTGTAGTTCTCCTTATGTATTTAACTGTGAGAATTATTATGGTACTTTAGTCAGTCAGATTCAAATTTACTGTAAGGATTGCTCATGAGAAATGACTAAATGACTGTGTTTGCCATAGAATTTGAAATTGAAAGGCAAGCTGCATGAGGACGCAACACACAATTTGAACTGTGTAAAAATTAAACCAGTGTATTTGTTTTTTATGCCCAGGGTGAGTTTCTACTGACCGTGTTAACTTCGCCAGTGGGTTCTACTCACTAAAAGGAACAAAAAAGTTTGTATAAACCCATGTCCGATTTTCGACCGTTAACACGGTCAGAGAAACTCACCCTGTATAAAGTGCCTTTGACTATTGATACAACTAGACATCCCATCCCATCGTTAAAGTTGTTGCCAGCTTTTTTTCAAAATTGTCGTAGTTCATGTGAGCCACCAAAAGATTGTGCTGATCTAAATGACTAATTGTCAAATACACAAACTTTTTACCAAGTCTATCTAATGAAATGGCTAATTGAGAGCTGAAGCAACTGTTATAACCCATCAACTTGGTCAGCAACAAATAAATAAGGTAGAAATTCTAATTTTAGACACTAAAACATTCTGTGACTGGCTCACACATCTATGTTCTTTTTTAATGAAAATTGGCGACAGCTGGTCCATATAGATGTGATGTCTACTTCAGTAACTAGTAGTCAATGATAGTACTCACTCTCAAATCTGTGGATGACCTAAATTACGTACATTCCCTTAAAATAATTACAACACACATAACCTTGGATACTCATACCTTGGCCTGTTCTAAGAAGGAGCAGACTCTGTTGTGTTTGGACGCCTCAATACCACAGTGCAGGAATATTGCTCGCAAGAGACTTGTATGGTTCAGTCTGATGACACAGTTATGATGTAGCAGAAATGGGAACTCATTCAGCACTTGCCACACAAAAGCCAACAATTCACTCTCTGCCAACATGTCTCCTATATCAGAAATTACATCATTTAAATTTTCTAGACTTAAAGGTTTTATATAAAATTATATTACTGTTTTGACCTTATCAAGAAGTTATGACAGTTCTCAATCAACAAAGAAAATGATTGCAGAGGTTTTTATTACTTAAAATTTGAATCAGTAAAATGTTACTTTCCGAAATTAATTAATAGACACATCTGATCATTCACTATACTACGTTCACAATATTAAGTCAGTTTGAGGAGAAGTTCCCCCAACACCTATTAATTTAAAGGTAAGGGTCAAGTGGAGGGGATATATTTCTTTCCTTAAAACCGCCAAAATATTGTGAACGAATTATAGTAATAATAATCTATGTCTTATAATAATATTTACATTTAAAAATAGTGATATAACAAGCCTGTTGACAAAAAGAGAAACGGATGAAAAAAATTTATCACAAACCGATACTTTGTTCAGAAAAAATTTAAGCTACTATTTAACAAATTTGAGATACTGTAACTAGTTGCAACTTTAGTAGGCTGCCCTTGCCAACCCAGAATAGGCTTCATAAGCTTAGGCAATACAGTAGACTCCCTCTTATCCGGACTCCTTGGGACCGAGGCCAGTCTGGATAACGGGTTTTCCGGTTAAACCGACGTCCCCAAAATCTCATTAAAACGGACCATTTAAATGCATACTCTATACAGTATTTGACTTAAAATTAGGAGAGCATTGTATTTAGACACGTAACCACTCAAATCTTTCCCACGAGAACAGTTGTTTCAGTACCGCCCACTTCCTGCCGATCTAGTCCGGTTCAACCGATGTGCTGATAACAAATATCCGGATAAAGAGATGTCACTTCTACCGAGTGTGGTCCGGTTAAACCAATGTCCGGTTAAAAGGTGTCCGGATAAGAGGGAGTCTACTGTACTAATATGTGTTGTAGAGCTTACCTGATGTTGGAGTGACAATGTCAAAAGCACATTCATACAGTTCTCTAGGATGGTGACCCAGCACTCTGCGTTCCCTATACACCCGGTCTATGGAGTAACGCTTGAACTGTGAGATGGTGGGGTTGTGGGCGAGGAAGCGTGCAAACGGCAGTCGCAAGTCATGAGGCAGCATCGCCACCCCTCCCCACCTAGTCATCACAGACACTGTGGAGGGGGGTAGAGGACAAAGCCCACTCGGCATCATGAGAGGTGGACACAAGCTGACAGCGCCATGCAGCTCCAACACCTGTAGTGTATGTGAGTTGTTATAAGTCAACTGCATGGAGGTAAAATATACCTTTATAGAAAAATTCACAAAATGGGACGTGATAATTTGTCAAAAATTAACTTACTTTGGTAGTTTGGTGGTCAAACAACCGACAATAAAGCAATGTTGTCAAACAGCACTACTTTTGTCATCCTAGGATCAGTAGACTCACATTCAGACTTTTTTGGACCAGACCCTTTCCTGAATTTTAAAATGTTGAACTATCAGGTACTTATTACATAGCATGAGTAGATACATTTTAAAACCAAATGTGTGTGCAGTTCTATAGTAGTACACTCCTTGATAATGGAATCTGTATAACTAAACGGTGAACCAATGTGAATGGATTTTTTATTAGTCTATGGACAAAGCGGCAAGTAATTTCATATTTTGGTGTCCATATCATCTAATTTTGAACCAAACAGATCTCAACAAAAGGTCTACTGTATGTTTCTCATCATGTTAATTTGATGGACCCTTGGGTTGAGCATTTATTACAATGGTAGGCTAGGCCTGTATGTTTTATTTTAGGACAATAATATTTCATCTCTTAGATTCACACGGAATGTGATGTTTGAAGAGGAAAAAACTTGACTTGAAAAAGGATGATCAACCCCAATCTTGTTGGAAAATACATTGTATGATTAAACAAACCTTACAACATTCTATGAAGTAGGGATTTACACCGGCAATTATTCATTATATTATTTTCACTAATAAAAATAAAGTGACTATTTCAGCAACATACCTTTTTAGTTTTTTCAACAACTTGCTGTAAAAGATATTGATAGCTTCGGCTCTTGCTGATAGACATGTCGTAGGTCACATTCTGAGCAGTTGTCATTTTCTGTTTACATAAAAATAATATTAGTGATGTGATGAAATCCAATTAACAAAAATGTAGCCAGTAGCCTTTATATTAATCCTAAAAACTATGTATCACCTTTTTTGTCAGATAAATTAATAATCCAAAATTTAATTTTAAGTTCATAGCTACTTCTTCCCTATTTGTTGGTTGATTGAAAATTTTAACCAACCAAAGAATGTGACAACATTCATGGGCGTAAATGTTATTAAGATGTAAAATAAGTGCTAGGAACGTTAACACTGAGAGACTGAGGTCTATTAAATTGGTTCTTATCTTTATATAGATTTTCAATTAGGGACAGTATCAAAGCTGAATAGGTTTAACTGTAGTATAGTAGTATAGGGTGATTATATAACCATGGGAATTAAATCAGTTTATAAGCATTCCTACAACAAACATGATTTTTTTTACATTTATAAATAAATATGTTAACAATATTTATTTATTAACTATGTAAAATTTATTTTTTATATGAAATTGCATTGAATAGTAAGTAAGATATAGTCAGATAAAATCTAGTTCAGGAATTTCGGATATGGTTAAATTACTAAACACAATGGAATAATTTAACTCATTATAATTATTTTAACGCCAGATGAGGGGGTATATACAGAATGTTCCAGAAAAAATAATAACATTTAAATAACAAATAACAGATACTAGAATAGTTTAAATTTTGTCTTTCAGTCAATATTAAACCATCAGAGAACTGTTTTGTACATTAAGTAATCTTCCATTTGTGTATACAAATTATCCAATTAAATATAGCCAACAATGTTGTGTAGGATCTGGAGGGTTAGACCTGGTTAAAGCATGAAGCCATTAGGTACTTGTACATCTTGCTCTGAGGATTGTTGATTGTCCTCCTCAACAGTTCCTGCAGCTCACACTCCTCAAACTGCGGGGGAGGCAAGAACTCACTCTGCAGCAGCTCTGCGGAGTTGGGCCGCTGCAAGGGGTCGTGGTTCAACATCCATCTGCAACCATCAAGCCAAGACAGCCAGTAGTTTCCACATGAACCCCCATAAATTATTAACCCTAGAAATGATATGTGTTGGGATAAGGTCTCTTTTGTCCGTTTCCAAGTGTTAACGCCGTGATCGCAAACCATTTTGTAGTGAGTCAATAAACTGGCTGTAAATCAAAAAGTACTCATCAGATTTCAATAATTTGTATACAGTAACTAAGCAGGAATTTGTTTATTGTTTTTAAGTCGTTGGCAAATCCATTAGCTGAAATCTGAAGCTTTGAATGCCTGTGGGCATTTCCTACTGGTTGATCGTCAGCTGTCGTCTACCAACTGCCTGTCTTCAAATTTTGTTCATGTTCATGTTTTGGTAAACTATTTTGTAATGATAATTCATGTTGAAGCTAAGTTATTACTATCGTAGGTGGTAATTGTTTTTTTTTCAAAGAGCATTTTGTTAATGCCTGTATGATTGTTGTTGATAGTTTATATTGATTGCTATATTGATTGATCAGCCTAAACAACAGGTCTACTGCACTATAAAATCAAGTTTGTAAAGAGATGAGATCAGAATCGTAGTTAGATTATTTTCAATAGAGTTTTAGCTACGACAGGAAATGTGGGTGATTTAGTGGTGGTTGGTAGAAGATATATTGGGCCCACGTATCTTTATTAACACTCATACTACTGCATTTCACCACAACCTTACACAAAATTATTAGTATACAGCAGTTGTATACAATACATACATATACATTATACTGTATATACAGATTTGCAAATGTCTTGCTACCTGAGCAGTTGAGTCTTGGTCAACTTGTTGTTGTCGACAAAGTCGGAAGGCAAGACACACTCATCTGTGCGCAAGTCTGCCAACACCTTCATACGTTCCATGTGAGTGTCTAGTGGTCGGTAACACATCTCAAAGAACATCACTCCTAGGCTATAGATGTCCACTTTCTGTCAAATAAGACATAGGACTTACAGGTTCCTCAAATGAAACTAATACACTGATTATTGTGTAATATTTAGATCACTATTAAGGTCATAGGCAGGTATTAATGTCACAATCTCAGGAGCAGCTTTCAAAGAAATCCTATTTATAATATTTTTATCTTAATAAACAACACAACTCAGCAAATTATCATTTTTAGTTCATCATATGTTTTGAGAACTCACCTGATTATATGTGGTCTTGATACAACATGTGTTCAGTTCTGGAGCAACGTATAAAGCAGTCCCAACCTGTCCTGTGTGCGAGGTTTCACCCAAACTGCCCAACAACTCAGTTTGGTCCAGCACTGCTCCCTTCCTGAACAAAACAAACTAATTACTTTAGCCATTCTATGGTGAAATGTTTAAATAGAGTATCTCTGTTTAGGTATATTGTGTACACATTTATTAGGTACAGTTAGTTCATGTTACTTGCAAAGTTTGCATCAGTACAATAAGATTATTGGAATCGTAAATCCACAATGATTTCAAGTTTTTCATTAGAATAAATCAAATACTTTCTTCTTATTCTTGTAATGCCACCAGTGGCGTTTCTAGTGAAGGATTCACTAAAGCTTTTAAGGTAAAGTGGTCCAAACCTCTCAAAAGGCCCCCCTCTCCCAATAATCTTTAAAAACGTGTTCACATGTACTACCGCCTAAACTTGCATTTTTCCAATAAAACTTTACAAGGCATCTCCCGAGGCGTCATCATTGTATTCCATGATCGCGGCAAGTGAATACATCCCGTAGTCATGGAAGAAACAATATCATAGTCTACCGTGATTGCAAATGTAACCAAACCTATGACATCATCAGGTAGCAACATCATTGTCTCCCGCATTCACGGCCCAATATCTCCCGCGACCCATTGGTGGTAACGGGGAAATAATTTTTTCCGCAATCGCGGCAAAATTCTAGATATATCTCTCGCTGAAAAAGAAACGTCATTATCGTATTCCGCAATTGCGGCCGAATATTGAACATCTCCTTCGGCCTCAGAGACATCGTCATCGTCACCCGCGGGGAAATGTTCTCGTCGATATCCGCGATCGCGGCAAAAGCGTAGGCCTAATCTTTCAATTTCGTGAGTGTGATCCTCGCGGACATAAAAGTTTTTACTTTTAATTGGGCATTATTGTATTGAGTATTGAGAAAATCGGCTCAAGCTTGATTTTCTTACTTGTGCTTAATCTCTCAAGCTTGTAAGCCAGGCTCTGCTTGGCTCGAAAATCGACATTATATTATAAAAATCAACCGTTTTCAAAGCAAACCGATTCTGAACCGATCTGATTTGGCCTGAGGCTTATAGGTAAGTAACATTTTCAACCTGACTCGAAGTGAACAAATCTAAGGTGCGAAGTAAACAAATCTAAAGGGCAGCCTCCTAATAGTAAAAAATGAAATGAAATGAAAATCCTCCTTTAGCTTCAATGAAAGAATGGAATTATTTATTAGCTAGTGCCCTAGCTACCCAGGTTAATTTGCCGATTAGATTGTAAAACAATTGCCAAGTTCATTTATTTGAATCAGATTAGAGGGCCCTCTCTGGTGTGACAGCCGGGGGCTAGGAGGATTAACATTAATGTCCTATCCTCCTAGGCCGGAGGCCACATTGGTTATAAATACGGCCCTATTATAGCGCCTTCACACAGTCCACGAGAACAGTTGAGGCAACCTGCATGACTGATGACAATTCTTTTACAGGTTGGTAGAGAATTTATATCGATCGCTAAAGTAATAGTGTCAGTTTAGCTGTTGTAAACTACTTGTCCTAGTGCTCTTACTGGTTTGAACAAATTTTCGTCATAAAAAAACGCGTGGTAATTCTCATATAAATATTGTCATGATAGGGGGCTAGTGTGGCTGAGCCTGTCGCACAATCGCGGGCCCGTATCCCGGTAAAATTTGTTGAAAAATCCCGGTCAAGGCTCACGGGCCCCCCTAGCTTGCGGGCCCCCCCCCCCCCGCACCGCAGGCCCTGCGGGCCCGATATCGCCGACAGTGATTTTATTTTATTCATATTCTATTAGTTGATGTATACAAACTAACTTATGAAGGATAGTAGTAGTAGCCAAGCCAAAGTCTCCAATTTTTACGTGATCTTCACTATCGATGAAGACATTCACGGGTTTTAGATCTCGATGAATAATGCCCTGTTGGTGAATGTGACTTAGGCCTTCCACAATCTCTCTGAGCAACCGCCAAACACGCTTCTCATCTTTATACAATCCGTTGTCAATAGCCGTCCTGAAAAATACAATATACAAAAAGGTTTGTTATATGAAATATGTTATCACTCCTCAGTGTTTTGGCAAGGAGTGCAGTTTGATACTACATTACTGAAATTTAATAGACAGTTTAATCAGGTGCAGCCTTAATGAAAGTAAAAAATATCTGTTATTTCCAGTTTTGAGATTGCAGCTTAACACATTGGCTACTGTAGCATAATGGCCAAAGTGGGAACAGCCAATGTGCTGTGTGGATGTGTGCACAAAACTGTTTAGATTCTGTTTCATCCAATAGAAGAGCCACAGCATGTTATAGCATGTACTGCATTCCAATCATTCCAGTGTTTGTGGATGTAGTTCTACAAGAAACCGACAGACAGCAGTACTAAACAATATTGCTAGCAGACCCTCAGTACTGCCAAATGCAAGGACAAAGTTAGGGCAAAAGACCCAGACACACCAGCAAAAAATACCAAAAAAACCACAAAATAAAGCAAGCTAGTACAATGTATTAGAAGCTAGCACACACAGATAGAAGCTAGCATTGCTCTGCCTTTCTCCGATGAAGGCACGCTCGGACACGCATGCAATGTGATAAGCATTGTCAAGTTTATTTTGTAGCTTTGTCAATCTTACACTAAGTCTAGAACTTAATACAAACATAGCAAACCAGATCTCACTAACCACTCCTTAAATTTTGTATAAAGGTACTTAACCGAAAATTTATATGATTATAATTGGTGAATAACTATGATTAAAAGAAGACATTGAATGTTCTACTAAGCCAAAGCTGATGTCAAAGCTAATTCTGTAAATGATTTATCTTACCTAAGAGTTGATTTCTCGCAGAACTCCATCTGAATGTACATAAACTGATGGGTAGAGCTGGTGACACTCTCTGTAGCACTCTCTCTGGTAGTAATATCTGACTCTGGTATCTCAGTGTCTCTAGTGCTGGTCTCATCACTGGAGCCTGGCCTGTACCACACAAAGTACAGTATACGCTAATCTGGCACTTAGGCAAAATTATTGAAAGTAATAGCAAGACAAGCAAAATACTGCTTATTGTGTTCAAAGAAAATTGTTGACCAGTGTGACCCATTCCATTTTTTGGCCATTTTCTTATCTTAGTTTGCCAATCGCCTCCGGCACATTCAATCACTCCCAACTTTGCCAAACACGCGTAATATGGCTTAAAAACAACAATTAAAAATCCTTTAGATCAATGCTGGGCATAGCGGGCTTTTACTTACATAGACACATCTTTAAGTACCTAAACCCTTAGGTACACTAAATTTGAAAATTTAATCTATTACAAATGTCAGACTGCAAATTCTTCAACTTCCTCCCACTATCAGTAAAAGCAACACTAGGCTCAAACCAGATTAGAAAAGCTTTCTTTCTAACTGACCACACATTTTACAGCATGAAAGAATATAGAAACCAACCCAGCGCAATCTAGAACTAATTGAACCTGAACTAATGTCATCAGCTCCAAAACTAGAACCCCTAGTCTTAAGGACAGTGGCGGTGAAGATATAGTAATGTTAGGCCAGTACAAAAAAAATATTCCTTTGCAAATTTCTCAGTTTAAGAACAATGTATATGGAAATATGATGGGGAATTATACTGAAGAAGTTGATTATTTAGTTCATTTAAAATTCTTAATACTCTTTTCCATTTTTACTTCCACCCTTATGGTGCTCCTTTAATATCTTTGGTTTAACCCAGATGAATATAGTTGCAAATTGGTGAAGGCTCAAAATAAACCTTACCTTGAATAAGACATCTCATATAGATCAGACCTACAAGTAAAACAGAATTAACCTTAACTTTTGTGTGCTAACACTTCAATGTCACTTGCATGATACAGTGTTAAATAAAATTACAAAACTATAGTCAACATAAAGAGCTAAATAGGCATTGGAGAGGAACCCCCTGGAAGCAGGAGAGTGGGAGATCCAGAAACTTGGAAAAGGACGTTGGTTGAGGAGTTGAAGGAGAAAGGAAAATCCTGGGAAGGGATCAACAACCAACAGGGTCCGATGGAGAGGAACAGTCGAGGCCCTATGCTCCAGGAGGAGTCAACGGGATTAATGGTCATAGTCAACATTGCCTGGATTGAAGTAATGTTGAAAAAGGTCTGTTAGTAACGCACAAGTACTCTTGATTGTTCTGATTTCACGGTAAAAGGAGAGTACTTTTGTTGATGAAACTGTTTACAGTGTTTTACTGGTTTACCTTTTCCTATTAGAAAAGTTTTATATCTAGACTTCTCAAAACTAACCTTGATTCTTGTCTCTTTGAACTTAAAACAAGGATGTTTACAATCCTCTAACAGTGTGGTCACAGCAACATTGTAAACTTTTTATAGCAGCATAAATGATCATTCCTAATCTTAATTTACTTGACACCATTAGTCTGTTAATGAATGGACACTTAGCCTCAGGCTGTTGGTGAATATGAAATGTTTCCCTGCAACGTCCACATACACAGACTTATTTCTGTCATAAAAAATTCATGCACAACTCCTGGTTATCCTGGTCAGAAAATGCCCTTCTACTAGTTCCAACAACCTTTTCTCAATCACAACTGCTAAAGATCCCTAAAACCACTGCTATTGTTGCATATCAACCCGAATAAATTAAATTATGATTATTTTTTATAAAAAATAACTGGTCATTAACTATTCAAAAGAAAATGTATGCAATGTTTGTAATTGTTAATCCTATTAATTAACATTTTCTTTTAACTTCAAGGCCACTTACAAAAATGTTATCCAACAATTGTCATCAGAGCTGTCTTCGGAGCTCTCACTACAGGCCTTGGACAAGTCCCACTCCACACTCACCTCCTTGATTGGCAACATCTCCACAACCTTACAGTCCAACTTCTCAACCTACATTACAACAACACTCACTCATCATTAGATCATCTCAATCCTTCCATAGTCATCTGAGCTGTAACATATCTTCATAATAAATCATTTAAAAAACCATGCCATATCAAGTTTTGGTATTTTTCCAGGTTTTGAATTCTGTTCAGTTACAAAAGACAACCTATCACAACTTTCTTTGTTATTGTTGTACAGATGGGTAGATTTGTGTAGGTGAAATGGTGACGCTGCGCTGCCCTTCTTGTTCCCCATTATTAAACACAAGGTATGAGTTACTTACTATTTTTCCATCTCTTTATGTTGGCTGTGGTCTATGCCAATTTTTTGTTACATCTATAAGCAAAGTGTTATTCATAATTTCAGTTGACATAAAAAAAAAAAAAACAACAAACCTAGAGTAACATTACAATTAGTTTATTTTCATATTACGCCAGCATTGTAGCAAGTTATACAATTATTCCACTTTAATACAAAGCAGTGGATTACCAAAGTTAAGAAGTAATACAGGATGTCCACAAAAGAACTGAAACATTTTAAAGGCAAATATTGGTAGCAAATAAGGGACTATGTTTAATGTTTTATATATATATACTAGCGGAAAACCAGTGCTTCGCTACGGAAAATTTCAAATTGGTTAAAATGTTTAATAAATTAGTGTTTAAGTGCCAGATTAAGATCAAATAAATCACATAAAATAAACAATAAATTATTTTAATTTTTACGAGGTGTTAGCCCGTCCTACGTACGGGAATTCAGTAGTCAGTTAAAACCGTGTACAATTCAGATGGGCTAGTTTACACATAATATAAAGACAAGTTTCTTGCAGTTTTAATGTGAAAAATCATCTTGTAAACAAATGTTGTGTGACCAAATATGTTTTTCTTCCATCACAGGCCTATCCGATATGCATTTTAAATCCGATAATTTAACAATAAAACAGCAATTCTGCAATTTTTACTATGTGAAAAGCGTTGAAGTGAGATTTGCAGCCGATTAGCACAGACGCACACTGATTATAAGTAGCCTACAGTAGAGAGAGTAATAGTCAATTGAGAAGTGTATAGACCTAGTCAACGATACCACCTTCCCTAGCATACCTGCCTCTTCCATAATTATTATCACCACATTACAACTACTATACACAATTTCCAGTAGGTCTGAATAGAAACGACCTAAAATAAAACGATAATATCCAATAAAATTCACAGTACACATAAATCGTCACACCTATCCTTTATATCAATTTCACTGCATTAATTGCTAAATAAATAAGTGTAAACAAAGAAAAGTAAAAATAATAACAGTTTGTTTTGAAACAGCTGTTTGGTTCAAATAACATTCATTTGAAAAAAAAGAACTCACGATTACTAAAAGAACTGGTCACATGTAGCAGGAATATAAAAAGTAAACACGCTAGTAAAGCTAATGACGTAATTGTCAATGTTTATTATCCATACCGTCATCAGTTCTATCCTTAATAATTACCCACCCTCATTGAATAAGTGTACATCGTAATTTCCCATATTAGTTAATTTAAACTACAATATATTCATAGTTTAAATAAAAGTGTTATTTTCACGTTTGGGGGCGCTGATAGGCACCCCCAAACGTAACCACACTGAACACAATTTCATAAAAGGATGGTTTGTCTAATTGCAGTATCCTAGGTCAATGTTGACGTTGTGTTCAATCTTTGTATAAAACTCGGCTGAGGTTGTGGTGGTAATTTAAAATCGTGATTCCGGATTATTCTTGATCTTCTTTTGATGACATCAATATTTCCAGGCCTAATCCAAACAAAGTTAAAGCAGACAAACATTAATTGTAAACAAAAAGCTACCATGAAGAATTAAAACATATAAACATTGTTATTTTTCTATTCTTTCCTCGAAAAGTGCAATAGTAAAATAATTTGCATTTATCCTTTTTTATTAAGACTCGTGTACAGAGCCTCGATTTGTACTGTAGTTTAATTAATTTTGGTCTAAACTATTTTAAGCTGTGGTCTAATTATCTCTACTAATCTTACTTATTTCCTATAATCAATGACAAAATAAGAGTAAATAAAAAAACCTCATAGTTCCATAGTTTATATATAACCAGCTGTTAGTTAAAACAAATTATATTGCTCTAAAGCAAATCGAAGATTACAAAGATTGCTTTAAAAAATAATTTGAACATCCTAGTATTTTACTATGTATAATTTAATTAATCTGTCATCCTCTTACAGAAGAATTGAACGTATCAATGATTTGCATTACACATAGTATAAATAAGTCAACCCTAAGTATGTCTTTACATTTTTATCCAAATACTGAATTTGTGACACAAAAGCTGAATGTTTACAGCTGTTATGTTAAGCAAATTATTTTATGCCAAAAGCTAGTTTAGAATCTTAGCGTCGGCTGCTAGACTTTTTAAAAATTAAAACTTAATTTCTAAAAAACTGGGACCCTAAACTAAATTTATGGCTTCGACATTCCCTAGTTCTCAAAATTATCTTTCTTTCAACACAAAAATCATGAAAATCCGTCGAGTGGTTGATTCAGAATCGTGAAATAAAAAAACACTGTTTCGTTTTAATATTATAGATAGATATTTCATTTTAGGATAATGATCAAAACAGCAGTTAACCCACCCATGTGTTCGTTATTCGTACTATTTTTGATTATTTACAGAATATCTTTGTATAAAACATTTTTTTGTTTTCTCAGAAGGTGCTAGCATCACCAGATTCGTGGCTGAGCTGACCCGTGAATATGCAACATAAAAGTGTCCATGAGAAAAACAATCCTCTCTCAAGTCTAATCCTGCGATCTTAAGTGACTGTCCCTGAGCTTTGTTGATGGTGAGGGCGAAGTACACTTTCAAAGGGAATTGCAACCTTTAAACGGGTAGTCCGTAGGAACCAGGGGAAGTCGCAGTATAAAAAATGATTCCCCTCAGGCACATCCGGTGATCACTATGGCCTCAATTACATTTTTGTGAAGATAAACGTGGAAGTGCCCGCTAGACAGGGATTGTGTAAATCTGAGTCTTTTCAAGGTAATACGTTCATCACCAAACTTGACATATAATTCACCATTTCGATAAACCTCGAAAAAAAATGTGATTATTTGTCAACCAGCTCACACAACCCAACAAAAGGTAAATAGCTTAGACATTTCATAGAAGTATTCCCTTGAATTAAGTAAATAAATTGAAGTAAATAAACACGCACAGTCTCCTGTGATGTGAATGACATTGTGTGGAACGAACCCGCCATTAACATTTAAAACCTCAGTGTAAGTACTATCAGAAAGTTTACACAACTACAAAAATATTAACAGACCAATATCATAAGTTCTTAAAAATTCAAATGCAATAAAAACTAAGTTCAATTCATACTTTCTTCAACACTAATCACACTTATTAGAAATTGATAAAACTAAAATGCCACGCCCACAATTAATTAGGTTAATTTCACTGGCACATAACTATGATGTTTATATGGTTGGAAATAACCTTAGTAAGTTAAATTTATTTTTTTATTCTAACTGCTGATGATTAAATAAATTGCAGACAAATAAATTGTAAACAAAAACTCAAAACAAATTATTCTTCCTATACAAACTCCATGCTAACTTTGACCTTCTGTGGGCCCGTTGGGAATTTTGTAAAATCGCTTCTTATTGTCTGCCTACGCTATGAGAGGAATATGTATGGAAAATTTCATGCTCCTAGGTGGTATGGTTTGGCCTGTGCGTTGATCGGAATTTTGCATTTATATATAGAGACTAGCTGACCCAGCGAACTTCGTATCGCCTAAGTTATAGGTTTCCCCTAAGACAGACCGATGGAAAGAAAGTACCGTTACGTTTAATTTTCAAGATGATCTCGTTCGCATCGCTCAATCACGTCCTGGTTGAACTTCGTTCGCTACGCTCACTCACCTTTGGGTTGGAGCTCGTTCGCTACGCTCACTCACCTTTAGGTTGGAGCTCGTTCGCTGCGCTCACTTGCCTTCAGGTTAGCTCGTTCGCTACGCTAACTCGCCTCCAGGTTGAAGTTGGTTCGCTACACTCACTCACCTTTGGGTTGGAGCTCGTTCGCTACGCTCACTCACCTTTAGGTTGGAGCTTGTTCGCTGCGCTCACTTGCCTTCAGGTTAGCTCGTTCACTACGCTAACTCGCCTCCAGGTTGAATCAAGATATCTCGTTCGCATCGCTCAATCACGTCCTGGTTGAAGTTCGTTCGCTACGCTCACTCACCTTTGGGTTGGAGCTCGTTCGCTACGCTCACTCACCTTTAGGTTGGAGCTCGTTCGCTGCGCTCACTTGCCTTCAGGTTAGCTCGTTCGCTACGCTAACTCGCCTCCAGGTTGAAGTTCGTTCGCTTCGCTCACTCACCTTTGGGTTGGAGCTCGTTCGCTGCGCTCACTTGCCTTCAGGTTAGCTCGTTCGCTACGCTAACTCGCCTCCAGGTTGAAGTTCGTTCGCTACGCTCACTCACCTTTTGGTTGCAAATTAGCTGTTGTCATAAATGTAAAAGAAATAATAGTGCTGCACCCTGTTGGTAATCCTTGTAACTTTAATGCTATTGAACATCATAGAACAGAACCAACTTGTTTAATTGAAACAGCTGTTAAGATTCATTAATTCCATTTCTCATAAGGTTAACATGGGAAACTCCAGAGCCACTGGGGCGGCCCCTTTTAAGAATTTCGAAACGGGAAATAGTTTACGTCCGATTCGCATACCTACAGAATTTACACACAAAATTTCATAACGATCGGTGAAGTCGTTCCGGAGGAGTTTGCAGACAAACACTGTGACACGAGAATTTTATATATTAGATTTAATGCTAAATTTTTTAAGTGTTATTAGAAATGTAGTATAGCTCAATATGAGCAACATTAAATCCTAACTTGAGCCCGGCATAAATCTAAGGGAAATTTGACCCCTTCCCAGGTTTTGGTCAGTACTTCAGGGGATATAAACGGTGACATTTATTATGACATGCTAGAGGAGTACGTTTTCCCACAGTTGGATGACGTTGAAATGGAGAATGGCCCTGTCTATTTTCAACATGATGGAGTGTCACCACACTACAGTTTGCAGGTGCGAGAAGCGCTAGATATGTGGATTGACACGGAAGGGCCCATCCAAAGGCCTCCTAGGAGACCAGATATGACTCCTCTGGGCTTTCTCTTTTGGGGAGGGGGGGGGGGGGGTAGTGAAGAATTATGACCACTTGGTGCAGATTCGGGATCTGAATCACCTCTGACAGAGAATAGTCGCATGTGTTGGTGCAAGATACCCTGAAGAACTGACCAAAACCTGGGACGAGGTCAAATTTTGCTTAGCTTTATGCCAGGCAACTAATGGGCTCATATCAAGTTATACTAAGTTTCTAATAAAACTTGAGAATTTTAGCTTTAAATACATATATAAATCACTAGCTGTAACCCGCGTGCTTTGCCCCGTTTAACTTCTTAATTTTCAAGATGATCTCGTTCGCATGGCTCAATCACATCCTGGTTGAAGTTTGTTCGCTACGCTCACTCACCTTTAGGTTGGAGCTCGTTCGCTACCCCTAAGCGTAAAAGCATTTAAAAAAGATCTGTATATTGTTTATAACTGTGGACTACTGATATTCTCCACTTGTTAATGCTTGGACTAATGATGCATATTACGTGTTAGTGGTGTTACCTTATCAGGAGAAGAAGATGTTTGTGAGGAGTCGTCACTTTGAACCGAGGTTTCAATCCAAGAGTTGAAATAACGCACAACATTTTCATGGTTCAGCCTTGATAACAGCTTGACTTCTCTTGTTATTTTTTTATAAAGAAGTTTGTTCATTGGATTTAACTGTATCCTCTTGATTGCATACAGACAGCGATCGAGTTTGTTGCGAACCTAAAAGCCATTAATCAATAATTTGTGTTAGGAAGTGAATGTTACTGTGCATGGATCATATTTTGCTGAGGGATTTCAGCTGGTTGTAGAGCTAATTTTAAAATAAATACACAAAAAAATTTTTAAACATTTATTTTCCTACAGGCACCTGACAAAGTGGCCTTCCTTGTACTTATTATAGCACAGAAAGTTGCTAAGTGCTGCATCTACTTACTTTTGCTGCACACTTTTTACTGGGTACACTTCCATATCTGTTGGCACAAACAACCGAATGAGTAATATAGATTATTCGATTGTTTAATTCGATATATCGTTTGGTTAGTTAGGTTATGCTAATCTTACCTAACTAACCAAACGATCTATTGTATTAATCTATACGCCTACATTGATCGATATTTCATACGGTTGTTTGTGCCAACAGATATGGAAGTGTACCCTTTTTACTTTTGCTGCACAGTTTTTCTTTTTTTCCCCACACCAGTATTCCAACCAAACATCAGAAAACAGTGTGCTTTTATTAGGCACGTAATACAAGTAGGCTTGAAAATAAGTTGGCAACACTTAAAGGTATTACGACTGCGATCAGCTGGTGCAGCGTTTCCCATTCCGTCCAATGTTTGGATTTAACCCAACCTAAAAACGTATTTTACAGTGTTTGTAAGACTAATTATTTATATGCTTGATAGAAACTGTAGGAAAAATATGATGTGTAATGCGAGTGCAAACTAACTTTGATGCACTTGAGAAACTTTCCACACTCGCCTGCGGCTCGTGCCTAAACATTTTTCTTGTGTAAAATGTAATGTTTCAATTTAATTTAACCATTTAGGCTATGATGCCTAGGCTAGGTTAGGTTTTTTGTTAGATAAATTTTAATAAAAGTAGGTGTAACGTTATTACATTTAAAATAGAATAAAATATATGAATGAAGAATCTTTTATTGTCAAACATTTATAACAAAAGTAACAAGTAAACAAACATTGTTTTTATGAAAACATCTGATTGAATTAAATTACAGAACAGTATTTCAGCATACATAACATTTCCCCCTTCCTTCTTTAAATGTACATTGGCTTTCTTATATTCCGACTTGATTTTCTCTGGTTTGTAGTACCAGATGAAGGTGAAGTTAGTTGTTGTTGAAAAGATAGTTGTAAAGGCCGTATTTGTTGGCGTGTTGAAGTTTGTTGTGTTACAGATTGTTGTGCAGGCTGTATTTGTTGACGTGTTCTTAAATGGTCGGCATGCTGCCTGTGTTCTTTGTCATCAATGTTCACTCTGTATGACAATGGTGCTGTTTTCCTTAACACTACCCCTTCTCTCCAATTTTCATTTTGATTCCGTTTCACCCAAACTTTATCACCTGCATTGAAGTCTTTACGTTTAGAGTGGATATCATGATAAAACTCTTGGCGTTCTGACGACTGTTTCATCTTTTCCTTCACGTCCGGTCTTAGGGTGTCAATCAAAGTTCTTGGGTTTCTTTTCAGGAAAAGTTCAGCTGGTGTCCGTCCAGTCGATGAATGTGGAGTTGTCCTGTATGAGAACAAAAGTGTATGGAGTCTTTGCTCGTGATCATTTATGTCAATCATGAGATACTTGTTTTGAAACGTCTGAATTACTCGTTCAACACAACCATTGGAACGACTGTGGTAAGGAGTAGTTCTGATGTGAATCACGTTATTATTGCGGCAAAACTCTCTAAATTCTACTGAGACAAACTGATTTCCATTGTCAGTAACAATTTGTTTCACAAGTCCATATCTACAGAAAAGTTCACGAAGTCGTCTTATCACAGTGTTGCTTGTAGCGTTTTTCATTGGAAATATTTCCAACCATCGAGAATATGCGTCTATTACCACTAACCACATGTATCCGTCAAAAGGTCCTTTGAAATCAATATGTAATCTTTCCCAAGCATTTTCCGGTATATTCCATGAATTGAGTGGCGTTTTCACATCATTTTTCCTGAATGTTTGGCATCTTGTACAAGTTTTCACTAAGTTTTCAATGTCATCATCTATTTTTGGCCAGTACACATACAACTTCGCCAAAGAGCGCATGGCAACTATTCCTGGGTGTGAAACGTGGAGATAACTAAGAACGTCTCCTCTAAGGGACTTGGGAATTAATATTCTTTCTTGCCACAATAAAATCCCCTCTTCATAAGATAGTTCATGTCTCTTGACATAGAATATCTTCAAATTGTCCGGAATTGAACTTCGATCGGGCCATCCCCTGACACAATAGGATATAATGTGTTTCAGTTCATCATCTCTGTGAGTGTTATCTTGAATCGTACGTTTTCTAAGTGGCAAATCTTCAATTCTCATAGATCTTACTTGGTTTACTTCACCAAGCGTCTGATACGTATCAATATTTGTTCCTCCTTCTAAAGGTAATCTACTTATACAATCTGCCAGAACATTATCTTTTCCAGCCCTGTAGTTTATATCGTAGTCGTATCCACTGAGGATAATAGCCCATCTTGCAAGTCTGGAAGCGGCATGTTTAGGTATAGGCTGCTTTGCCCCAAAGATTCGTTCAAGTGGTTTATGATCACACAAAAGAGTGAAATGTCTACCATAGAGATATTTGTAGAATTTCTCAACACCAAAGATAATGGCCAGTGCTTCCTTATCTATAGAAGAATGGTTCTGTTCTGCTGAATTTAATGTTCTTGAAGCGGCTGCAATTGGTTTCTGACTGCCATCAGGACAACGATGAAGGAGAACTGCTCCTAATCCAATATTGCAAGCATCTGTTGCAAGGATAAGTGGAAGTTTAGGATCATAATGTACAAGTACCATATTGTTTGAAATGTTGCTCTTAATATGGTTGAATGCGTCCTCACAGTCACTATTCCAGGCCCAAGTTGAGTTCTTGTGCAAAAGTCTATGTAAAGGAAAACAAAGAGATTGCAAATTTGGAATAAATCTTGAATAGTAATTCACAGATCCAAGAAATGATCTAAGCTCAGAAACGTTCTTTGGTGGGGGTTGTTTCTTGATAGCTTCTACACGATCTTGTTTGAAAAGCTGTAGTTTATCTTCACGCGTGCATAGTCCTGCTCTCCTCAATATATTTAAAACTGTTTTGAGCCTATCAATGTGTTCTGGTCCACTTCTACCGCCCACACATATGTCGTCAAAATACCACGCACAATCATCGGTACCAACTAATAATTGGTCCATCAGCTTTTGAAAAATCTTAGGTGCAGTCTTAATGCCAAAAGGTAATCGATTGAAGGTAAAATATCCTTTATGTGTCGCTACCACTAGATATTTTTTTGATTCTTCGTCCACTGGAATCTGTAGATACGCATCCTTCAAATCAATAACTGAAAAGAATTTTGAACCATTCAACTTAAGCACTGTTTCTTCAAACGTAGGGATGCAGTATTCGTCATCGATTAAATGAGGGTTGATTGATACCTTGAAATCTGCACATAATCGTACCTCACCATTAGACTTCGGTACAACAACTAAAGGAGAAGCACAAAGGATCGGAGTCGTAGCCGGATCCACAGGTTCTAAGACCCCTGAGGACACTAAACGATCTAGTTCCTTGCTAGTTGCACTGTGTAATGCGAACGGAACAGGTCTCGGTTTGTGTATTGGCAATTGTACATCATTAGCTACTCTAACCTTAGCTTTGAAATTTTTCACTGTTCCTAGGTTATTGGTAATTATGTCTTTGAATTCTTTATATATCTTACGTTTCTCCCCCTCTTGGTCTATAATGTCCGTGTTAATATGATTGACGCTATAAGAATTTTGCTTACATACATGTTCACAGTTAGGATCTAGATTAAATGCTACAATCCAATCTTTACCAAACAAAGGTGTCCCTGAAACAATGTCAGTGACAGCAACACTTAATTGCAAAGTAGTTGAACCTAACGAAACAGCGACCTTAGTCTCGCCGAGCATAGGTATCCTAAATGACAGATAAGCACCCAGCTCCTCCGTAGGAGTCAGTGCCGGTTTACCAATTTGTTTCCACGTAGATTTACTAATTATAGTTCTTGCAGCAGCAGTGTCATATTCCATCGTTATTGGAACCCTATTTATTGTTAAATGAACAACGTAACAAAATTTCTCTACATTATTAATTTGACTTATGTTCTTTACCAAACCGGGAAGCTCAGCTTCTAGCTCATCAGATATGTCAGGACATCCGTCATTATTTTGACGGAAAAAGTCTACATTTCCACTATAATCACTCATTCCAGCAAACTTATCAATTTGTTTGACATAACGTCTTGAAAGATTTTTCTCAATGACGACATTATTGGATTTCAGACAAACTCGTTCAAAATGCCCCATTTTCCCACAAGCTCTACATTGAATATTCATTGCCTTGCAATACTCACCTGTTTTATGTTTTGCTAACCCACACCTCAAACACTGTGACTCAGGATTCAAGTTGATTCTAGTACTGTCCCTTTTGTTAGTAGTTCGTGTAGCCCCTACCTTATTTACCTGTGCGTCACATGAAAATGTCCCAAGTGTTTTTATTTGTTGTTGTTGAGAATGTGCCATTTCCATGAGGTAGGCGTCTTTAACGATGTCGACAAGTCTTGCTTTTTCCTCAGGATGTTTTCTGATGAGCTCTTCTTGCATTTTAGGATCATTTAAGCCCAATAAGAACTGGTCTCGCAGTCTTTCGTCAAGTGTATCTTTAAACTCACATTCCGTGGTACCAGCTCTCAAATTGTTTACAAATATGCGTATAGATTGATCTTTGTTCTTCACGATTTTTCCACATTTTAGTCTTTCGGCCAAATAGGATGTTTTTGGTTTATAGAAATTCGAAATAAACTCAACAATTTCCTCGTAGGTGTTGGATAAAAGTTATCAACCACTTTTGGTTTATAGAAATTCGAAATAAACTCAACAATTTCCTCGTAGTCTACTGTTAAAATAGGTGTTGGATAAAAGTTATCAACCACAATTCTATAATGTTCAGCACCAATCCATTTCAGAAGTAAAATTCTT